TCAAAGAAACCAGATGTTTCTTTGAAAGAATCAATTAAAATTTATAAACCTCTAACCAGATTTATCAAGAAAAAAAGAGAAAGGACTCAAATATGTAAAATCACAAGTGGAAGAGGAAAATAACAACCAATACCACAGAAATACAAATAATTGTAAGAGAATATTTTGAAAAACTATATGCCAACAAATAGGATAACCTGTAAGAAATGGATAAACTCCTAGAAACATATAAACTACCAAAACTGCAACAGGAAGAAGTAGAACATTAGCATATACCAATAACCAGGAAAGAAACTGAATCAGTAATCAAAAAACTCATGGCAAACCAAAGTCCAGGACCAGACGGCTACACAAATTTTACTGAACATTTAAAGGAAAGTTAATACCTATTCTTCTCAAACTTCCAAAAAATAGAAAAGGAAGGAAAACTTCCAAATTCATATTGAGGCCACCATTACCCTGATACCAAAACCAGACAGACACACACACCACAAAAAAAAAAAAAAAAAGCTACAGTCCAATATCTCTGATGAACACAGATGCAAAATCCTCAACAAAATACTACCAAAAAGAATCCAACATTACATTAAAATAAATCATTCACCATGATCAAGTGGGATTTATTCCTGGGTTGCAAGGCTGTCAATATGTGCAAACCAATCAATGTGATACATCACATCAAAAAGAGAAAGCATAAGAACGATCATTTCAATACATTCACAAAAAGCATTTGACATAGTACAACATCTATTCTTGATAAAAACCCTCAACAAAGTAGGTTTAGAGGGAACATATCTCAACATCATAAAGGCCATATATGAAAGACCCGCAGCTAATATTGACCTTGATGGGGAAAAACAGAGCTTTTCCTCTACTCTCAGGAACAAGACTGGAATGTTCACTCTCACCATTACTATTTAACATAGTACTGGAAGACCTAACCACAGAAATCGACCACAAAAAGAAATAACAGGTGTCCAAATTGGTAAGGAAGAAGTAAAACTTTTACTATTTGCAGATGACATGATACTATATATAGGAAACCCATCAAAAGATGGCATCAAGAAAATACTAGAACTGATAAATTCAGTAAAATCACAGGATACACAAATCCGTGTACAAAAATCTGTTGCGTTCCTCTACACTAATAATGAAGCAGAAGAAAGAGAAATTAAGAAAACAATCCCATTTACAATTGTGCCAAAAATAATAAGATGCTTCGGAATCTAACCAAAGAGATGAAAGACCTGTACTCTGGAAATTACAAAACACTAATAAAAGAGATTGAAGATGACACAAAGAAATGGAAAGAAACTCATGGACTGGAGGAACAAATATTGTTAAAATGCCCATACTACCCAAAGCAATCTACACATTTAAAGCAATCCCTATCAAAATACCAAAAGCACTTTTCACAGAGCTAGAACAAACAATCCTAAAATTTGTATGGAACCACAAAAGACCAGGAATAGCTGAAGCCATCTTGAAAAAGAAGAAGCAAAGCTGAAAGCATCACAGTTCAGAACTTCAAGTGATATTACAAAGCTGTAGTAATCACAACAGTATGGTACTGGCACAAAAGTAGATACGTAGATCGATGGAGAATAGAAAACCTGGAAATAAAAAAAATTAAAGAAAAAAATCTTCAAAAGAAAACTCAGAACTAAACCCACACTATGTATATATAAAGACAAATACCATATGATTTCACTCATATGTAGAATTTAAGAAAACGAGTAAATGGAAAGCAAAAAAGAGAAGCAAACCAAGAAACAGACTCTTAACTGATGGTTACCAAAGAGAGAGCAGTGGGGGGATGGGTAAAATAAGTAATGGGGATTAAGGAATGTACTTGTGATGAGCACCAGGTGATGATGTATGGAAATGTTGAATCACTATATTGTACACCTGAAACTAATAAACAGTGTGCTAACTGTAATTAAAATAAAAACTTAAAATATCATATATGTATGAATCTGTAAAAAAAAATATTGTTTTGCCTCAAACTTTACAAACTTAATATGAAAAATAGACATAGTTTAAATATTATTCAACAACTTTCTACTATTATACTTTTTAAAAATTTGTGTATGTTTATACATCTGATGAATTAGTCTAATTCTTTTATTAATATTAGTATAATGTTCAAGGATTTTTTTTAATTTTAGTGATTGTGTTTTCTAGCTCTACGTTTTACAGTTAATTTTCATTTCTGTGTGTTTGAATATTCTTTCTTCTTAATACTGTTTTTTTTATTCTTTGTGAAGTTACATCCTTACTTATCTCATGTTATTGTATTTAATACTCAGAACAATTTCTACAGTAATATGAAATTTATGACAATAGGAAATTGTCCCTCAGAGGAATTAATTTGCACAAAATTTTATCACTATCAAGGAGCATAGCTGAAATTCAAAACAAGCTCAGCTCTTTTCTCTCTGCCTTTTACCCCCTCCAAATGAAAATAACTTATTCTGTGAGCCCTCAATCTGTTTAATCACTTGAATAATAATGGTGGTATCAAGAAATAATGGGAAATAAGAAGGGAAGGACAGGGAATATCTCATTTAAAAACAAGGGGAAAATTAAATCATATTAAAAATAAGAGAAAGCCTTTTGTGCCTCATCCTTCCCTCCCTAGAGTTTTCCCCACCCATGAGTAATCAAAATCCTTCACCCACATTTATGTTTCAATTGGATAATAAACTTTAGCCCAAAGGGATGTGTCTCTAACACAGAGGTCAGCAAACCCTGTCTATAGATGTCTAGATAATAAATATTTTTGGCTTTGTAGGCTATCTAGTTCCTGTCACAGTACTCAACTCTGCCACTGTAGTATAAAAATAACCAGACAAAAAGGAAATGAAAGGGTATAACCAAGCATTTGGTCATACAGCCTATTGGTCATGATTTGCCAGTTCCATCTCTACAGAGAATTTATTGGACATTGCATTGGTGACAGGCAAACAATAAACAGAGTTTTGAATAGGAAAAACGTCCTGTATCACCTCACAAAATCAACCATACACTCTTCCCTCATAGTCAGCCCTGCCTCTAGTTTAGCAAATAAAGAGATCTGTGACATCTTCCTGCTATCAATTCCAAAGCAACTCAACCCCCTGAAAGGAGACATGAGACCACATATGTTCTAATCATCTCAGTGTCCTCGGGGGGAAAAAGGTTAGCAGAGACGGATCTTGAGAATTCCTGCCCCACAATATGTTGTCCAGTGTCCTCAAAACATAAAATTTTCAGAGCATAATTAGGGAGGAAAATACTTCTGTAATATATCACATGAAAACTTAAAATATAGATATCTTGACTTAAAGGGACTTTCCAGGCATTTGCTCATTCAAGTAGCTAGTAATATATATTGGCCATCGGGAGGAAATGGACTTTGGATCAATCAATCAGGATCCCAAACCTTTCAATTTCCCATACTTAGATTTCCAGAAATTAAAGCAACAGGAAAAAAAAAAAAAAAAGAAGTGAAGTAGGAGAAGAAGGTGAAGGAGAAAGAGGAAGACAAGAGAAAGGAAGGAAGGAAGGACAGTCATGACTAGGAAGAGGAGGAGGAAGGGACAGAAAGAGAAAGAATCTTTACCAAACATAACCATTATTTTTTCTAAGCAAAACTTGGATCTTTGTTATTCATTTATTTGCCCATTGGTCAAACACATATGGGGCATATTTTCCTACACTAGATAACTGGCCAAGCTATCTTTTTTTTTTTTTTAAAGATTTTATTTATTTATTTGACAGAGAGATAGCAAGAGCAGGAACACAAGCAGGGGGAGTGGGAGAGGGAGAAGCAGGCTTCCCGCGGAGCAGGGAGCCCGATGCGGGGCTCGATCCCAGGACCCTGGCGATCATGACCTGAGCCGAAGGCAGACACTTAACGATGAGCTACCCAGGCGCCCCCTGGCCAAGCTGTCTTACATACACCTAACAGTACCTGACAATTTATATAATTACTTGTATGCTTTTTTCTCTTACTATATTATGATTTCCTTGAAAGCAAGGACTATACATATTAACCCTCTTTGCATCATCAGCCCATCTGTGGTAGATGGCATCATTGGCAACAGTTCTTCACCTGTGTCTCCCTAACTTTGTCATGTGACTTTGCAGTCACTTCCATAAAGTTATACCTAAGTCCCTTGACTTTGAGCTTATCCACATGACTTGCTTTGGCTAATAAAATGACACGGGGATGATGTGTACATGTTCCAAACTGAGGCACTAAGAGATCTTGGGTGGTTCTGCTTGCTCTCTTGTGTATCTGGCATCATCACGAGGAGGGCTTCCTTCAGGAAGTCACTGCACCCAACCTGGGCCCAAGAATGATACACATGGCAGGAGCCTAAGCAATGATTTTAGTGTGGAGCTGAGTGCTGACGAGTCCATGGTTTCAAGACTACCTGCTCACCTAAACCAAGATCAACCAACCTCCTCCTGACCTGAAGACACAGAAGCTATGATAAATAATTGTTGTTTAAAAGTACTGAGTTTGGAAATGGGCTTAGCAGGAATAACGGATACGCCATCCCAACCCTTCGTCTAGCAAAGTGTGTGGCACCAGGTAAATGCTCCATAACAAATGGGAAACCCAAAAGATTCAACTATATCCATTAACCTTGATCTCCTATGCCTATTCTAGGCAGACAACCCTCCTTTCCGTCTTGTCTGGACTTGACATTCCAAATCGTACAGATTTAAACTGATACAAGCCTCAGGGATCCTTCGACAAGAGATTTAAAATCCCTCCTGGAGATCTTTATTTGAAGGAAAACTTTAAAAAGAACAGAACAGAAAACAATGCCTGACCCTTTCTCTGGTCTAGTTTGTTTTCTTCCCCCCATTGAATGGCTCTGCTACAAATCCTTTGTCCTTTTCTCTTTATCTTCGCAGGCCTCATTACAACTTTGTCATACCTATCAGTGAGGAGATGCAGTACAATCTCCTTTACTAACTGAGTTTGTAAAATATTTTTCTGGCTAAGCTTTGCGCAGTGGCAGTATCGTAGCCAATGAGGTTTATCCGAGGCGCAATTATTGCTAATTGAAATATTTTTCTGGCTATTTTAATAAATCCAAGAGCAATATTCAAGACAGAGTCACTTTCTGAGATAGTGACAAATGTCACTTGATCTGTGATCTTCTTGGTGCTGTCAGGAAAGGGTTCTTACCCCGATATTCCCCAACAGGCATTCCTTTTACTTCTCTGGGTGTGTTTAAAGAGTTATCAACAGCAAGCAATTACTATAACAGGTCGAGATAAGAGATTTCCATCACACAAGAGTGCCATCTACAGGAGTGAGCAAGCACCCAATCAACGAGGCAACAGCCCCTAAAAAAACAATTAGCAGAGTAACCTAACTTTCCTGTGGGATGTGAGAGCTTTCCCTCCATCCAGTTAATGAGTGTCCCTATATGTAACAATTATTAAATATAAACAAACACCTAATATCTTTTCTCTAAAAACAAACAAAACAACAATGTACCCTGAATGCTGGAGAAAAGACATTGCTTTCAAGTCCCTCCCTGAATCTTTCTCTTAATATAGGCAACACAGTAGAGTCTTGACTAGGATGTCAAGAGTTTTATTCTTTGTCCTAAAGCCTGCAAATTCTGTTTGATTTTGAGACCACCACTTCTGATACTTATTTTTTCATCTGCCAAATGGGAAATTTGTAAGAACTTAAACATATCTTCAAAATCCTCTTTATATTTAGTCTTTATATTTAGAATTCCACACTAATTTCCATTACTGACTCTACATATATGCTGAGAGTTAATTTTGGCTAACTTTCGCCGCGTCAGCCAAATGACTCATCAATCAGGACTGGCAGCTTGACTTTGGTTACTATGATTAGAGTCACTTTGTCAAGGTGCGCAGGTATCTAAAAATAGTCAAAGATAGCTTAGGATGAACATGAAAGATTCATTATCCTCATCAAAGTTTTATTATACCTTAAGTAGGTACATTTTTACTTACACTGGGCACTGAGCACCCATCTTTAGCCTCCTATTAAGACAGTAACCAGATACATTTGTTTATTAGCACATCCTGTGTCAGGACTGTCAGAACAGAAGCTTTGTTGTATGAACTGCTGTCTTTTGTTATAAGAGTATCTTCCACAGCAGCTGCTGATCCACATGGTTAGAGAACCACTATCATTATGAACACAGAGAGGGGGGCTGGAATATTGGACACAAAGTAGTGCTGTTTTAAAAAAATAAAAATGCAGGGAAGTGAATATTTATTGATCATCTACTAGGGGTCAGATTCTTCATGTATATTATCTCACTGAAATATCCTAAGCCCTCTGCCAAGGATGTTTTTACAGAGTAAATGGGAACTTAAGGAGATCAATGATTTGGGCAAGTAAAGAATGCAAAATTCAAGGCCAGATCTATCAAAATCACAGTCACATATTCTTTTAAAAAAATCACCAAAGTGAGGGGGCGCCTGGGTGGCTCAGCCAGTTGAGCGTCTGACCCTTGATTTCAGTCGTGATCTCCAGGTCTTGGGATTGAGCCCATGTCAGGCTCTGTGCTCACTGGGGAGTCAGCTTGGGTTTCTCTCTCGACCTTTCTCCCAGGCCCTCCCCCTGGCTTGTGCGCCATGCGCTCTCATGCTCTCTCTAATAAATAAATCTTAAAAAATAAAAAAATAAAAATTACCAAAGTGATAGGAAAATGAAAACGAGATGAATAAAAAAGAGGCCAATTATATATTTTATTGAATAGTGAAACTTCAGTTTCTGTCAAAATTCCAAAACTATCATTTCATGACATTCTATGCCATTTTTGATGTGCCTGTTAAAATGCTCAACCAACATATTTGCCTATCACATATTGATTTCAGAAAAGCCAGCCCCACATGACTTCTTTGTGGACAAGATGAAAATATTTGGATTTAATAATAGCACAACCAGATGGAGAAGATCTGGTTAAACATTTGTAAATCACAAAATGTTAATGGATAGGTAGCAGATTGGAAAAGCTATTTCAGTAAGTTCATACACCCACATAAACTTACAATGAAAGTGTTATCTTCCTGATGCTCCGGCTATCAGGTGACCAAGGGTCATTTTGCCTGGGACTGCAGAGGTTTCCAGGACACGGTATTTTCAGTACTAAAACAGAAAATCCCAGAGCAAACCAGGATGGGTTTGTCATCCTATCAGGGTGTTATATATGTATACACTCTACTTATTTATGCCCGGATATTTTGGCTGTGTTACCAGGGTAATAATCCCGGGTCCAAGGCTAAAAGATAATGAGGTGTTGTGCCTGTTAATGATTAGGACTAGAGATGAAGTTTTGCCTCAGCTACATTACTCTTCGCTGACATATGCAATCTTAATCTCCAATTTCTCCCTAAAGGTTTCTCTGCCTATTTATGGATCTGATGGCAACCAAGAAGTCACCATTGCCAAACCATATCCACCTTCCCCAAGCTGCCTGAAGTCTAACCGTGAGCAGACTTCATCACTCCCTCTGCACCACCTAGCAACAGGGAGAGTATCAATGTTATTTGCCCTAGCTGACTACTAAGTGAGTGCCAATGAGCATGTCAGCTCCATTCCTAAACAAACCTAATGATAAAGACTGACTGAGTGGCTCAGTTGGTTAAGTATCTGCCTTCAGCTCAGATCATGATCTCAGAGTCCTGGGATTGAGCCCCATGTCAGGGTCCCCGCTCAGTGGGGAGTCTGCTTCTCCCTCTGTCCCCCTCCCTCCTGCTCATGCTCACTGGTTCTCTAACAAATAAATAAAATCTTTAAAAAAAAAAAAAGAAGACTGACTACGGTCTGAAAGGTCAAAGCCAAATCTACAGGTTGTCTCACTAGCTGAGTATGAATCTTGTATTCTTTTTTGGCTGTTGACCAGGAAGGAGAGACATCAGTGACAGGCAGAAAGTATGACAGAGCATTTCATGAAATGTAAGCTGACACTCAGGGGCTGGAATGGTACAATGATGGACACATTCAATTTTCCTGCCAAAATACACAGACTTTTGGTTAAAGGGAATCACTTTTGTTTAAGTTGGTCAATTTTTTTTTTTTTGACAAACCCATGAAAGGGAAGAGAATAAATTGAATACTATTCATAGATATCTAAGAGTAAGAACTGGCTTATGTTTTTAATACCCTCTCTCCTCTGTGGCCCACAAGTGAACACAACCAGTAAAGCTGGGGTATAGTCTCTAGTGAGGTATTGCTGGGCGTAATAGTTAGTCCTGACTTAATATATTTTTGTGGTGGTGATGATGGTGGTAGCCACTGCTTATTAGAATAACTGTCCCAGTTTTGAAGGACAGGGTTTCCAGAGGGCAGGATAATTAAGAGAGATAAAGTCAGTGTGGTGTCAAAGCCAGCCCATCTGGCTGTCGATTGGTAAAACTTCAGGAACTTTCAAGCCAGTTGTTAAAGCAGTGGTAGACTGAAATCAGTGCCGGTAAGAGTATTCACACAGTGGAAATTGACAAACACGGTGATCAGGCTTTTTTTTCTTTTTTGTTTTTCCTGGAAATCCTATTGTTAAACAATTAGCAACACATAACTGGGCAATATCTCCCCCCAAAAGCTGCAATCCGTACTAATGTCAACTATGATTATACTCAGAGCATCAGAGGAAAAACAGGTTACCTATATCCATTTTCTTATCCCTAGTTTAAGAGGATAATCTTCATTATCTAGAGCTCTAGATTATCTCACAGAAAAATAAAAGTTAACCTTCCTAAAGAACCTAGGTCACGTAGAGCTGAGGAACAACCAAAAAGAGTTAACATGAAGTGTGAAATGGTTACGAACACCGAGGGCCATTTATTTTAGCTGAAAGCACATAATTTATTAAGAATGGACAAAAAAGGAAAGTCATCATTTTTCCTCCAGTTAATAATGCCCTCCACTTCCCTTGTCTCCAAATGCTTTGTGCAATGAAGTTCAGAAGATTAAAAAAAATAATAATAAAAATCCTGATACAGCTTTTCTACCCAGAGATGATCTTAAAAGCTTACAAATCTTTTCTTAGATTAAACTTAACTTCAAAAGCATCAGCTGGGGTCTCTGTCACTGTGAGAAGGAATTAAAGTGTTGCAGAGCTAAGATCCTAGGGTGATGCTTTTTTTTTTTTCCTTCCTAAACACATTTTCTTTCCTGTCACCCCATGGACAAGCAGCCTAAAAAGAAGTGTTAGGAAGAATACCTTTTGCATTTTTGCATTTTGTACACACCTTATAGATCTCAGCATTCCTGGATGAAAGTGGGGTTTTTTGCTCATCAGTCTGAGGCATCAGTTACAAAAAACCAAAATGCAGCTCATTTATGTCTCATTTTCCTTTTCCTTTCTTTATATACTTGGGTGTGGGTTTCTTGCTGTGGGGGATTTGCATTCTCTGGCATTAGTCAAGGTCAAAATACAGTCTTTGTGTATATTCTAAGCCCTTTCAAATATGAGATCACCCCCTGGTGTGATGCATTTAAAAAAGGTACCTTGCTCAGATTCAACCCACAGGCTCCTGCATTTTGTTTATCTTCTATTAAAGACTAAGCAGCTACATTTTCATTTCAAATTCCACATAAATGCTTTCAGAATAGCTTACATGTGGAGCTGTCTGAAAACAGGAAACGTATTGGGTGACCTTCTGTCCTCCTTGTTCTTAGTTGTAGGGACTGTAGGGGCTTCCTTCCCTCTGTACACACAACTAATTATGACCCAGGACTGAAGCTCACCCCTCCCCTTTCTCTAACATTTGCTCCCCATCCTCTGGGGACTCCTGATATTTCCAGATCTCAACCTGTTCTCAACAAAGTCCCTGATAAATAATATACATAGTATGCATCCACAAGAGTGATTGAGAATATATCCATCTAAACAACATCCAATTAAGGTAGTGTAAAATCTATTGTGATTCAGGATAATGACTGTTCAATAAGATGGACTTCACAGACTGACAGACAGTTAAATTCCCTACAAAGTTCTTTTGCAAAGACAGGTAATTTACTGAGTATCTCTAGATCTCTAGGCCTGCTGCCCTAGCTGTAAAATTGAGAAAAATCATAGTCAAAACTATATAGGTTTGTTATGAGAATTAGATTATAAAATGTGTATGAGGTGCTTGCTCTGGGATATAA